GTCTAATTGTTAACAACCGTTTCCTTATCTTTCGTATTCGTCTTAATACTTCCTCGTTCTTCACATGGTCTGTCCATGTTATTCTTACCATTCATCGGTAGATAGGACTATATTGCTATCGCTTCAAGTTTCTCCTTCGTGTATGAAAAGATTGCACAGTTTTCACTACCTAACTTCTTCTTTGTCCTTTGTTTTCATGACATGAAAAATCATTCCTATCCACAACTGCCTAACACTTATAGCTATAAGCAGTTTCCGTTGAGTTAATGCTACCCTTAATTTAATTATAAACACGAACAATATATATCCCTATAGACTTCAGTATAAACAATACAAACGTATATGTACACTACTTACATCATTTGGACTATTGTCTTCATCTTTGTTGCTATATTTATCAAAATGCTTCGGCCGTTGTAAACTCCGACCTTCTTCAGGAGGCTGGAATGTTGAACTGAGTCGTTTATTTCGCTCGCTGGGGTTGACTGTTCTAGTTCCATGTGACATATCTAATGGATGCCATATATCAGTTATCTCCTGTTAATTCCCCTCTCCAAGTTCTCCACCTCCTTAACCAGGTATTGAACTCATACAATTTGGGTTGTGTCACTGAATCTAACTAACGCCTTTACCCACTGTGCCATGTGTCCCTTTTTTCGTATTTTCCCAATGAAACATGGCCCACTGCCCATGTTAGTATTTCGTATGTCGATTCCAAGTAGTCGTTTCTTGCAGTTTGACCACAGCTTCTCGATTGGATTTAAATCAGGAGAGTTTCCGAGCCAGTTTATAGTACTTTGATTTGCTCACTGGTTAGGCTTTTCTGAGTACTTTTGCAGAGTTACAAATTTGGTAGGTTTCATTGGAGTAAAAAAATGTATATTCCATCGTAAAAAATATATTATTGAATAAGTACACTTCTTGTGCAAATTAATTGAAACAAAACGAATAATTCTGTAATCATTTCCATTTTTTTCGTATTATTTCAATGACACATGCCCCAGTGTACATGTCAGTACTTCGTATGTTCAATCCATGAAGTCTTTCCTTGCAGATTGACCACAGATTCTCAATTGGATTTAAATCAGGAGAGTTTTCCGAGCCAGTCTATAGTACTTTGATTTGCAGTGAGCTTACGACTATACATCTTTGAAACAGCAATTCTCGTACGGTCACCGAAGTTGATAATGTCGAGCAAGGGAAGTATATCGATGAATGACTGGTTGGGCATAACTCGTGCTGACAGATTGGGTGGTGTAATGGTTAACGAATTTCTACTAGCATGACTATTCCAAACGGCTTTTCTATTTGGCAAGCGAGACAAGCTTACTAGTGATTGCATCACGTCGAAGAACCGAAATATTCCAAGCGTAGCTTCGATATGGCACAAGGTTGAAGTTATTAAGCACACAGTGGGGATCGAACTTACTATTCAATCGTAATTGGTATATATTGTACTGAATTAACAAGACATATCGGCATTAAATAACCCATTGAAGTGTTGATGTGCCGCAAAACAAAATAAACTAATTCAAACCAAAACGTTAACCTAAACAAAAAGAACAAAAAAAAATAACAATTTTAAACTTTGGTTAACTTGTAAGCAAATTCTTCATTTCAATCGGCTTACGATTATATCACACTTCGAAACGCCAGTTCTCGTACGGTCACCGAGGTTAACCCAGCGAAGAACCTCGATTAATGACCAGTTGGGCATACCACATGCTAACAGGGAGGTGTAATGGTTAACGGGTTTCTACTGGCATGACTATTCCAAACGGCTTTTCTATTTGGCACAGAAAATTTTGTTCCATAAGAAAAAAAATACAAAAAATATAATATATTAATTACTAACAAGACGCTGATTTGAAAAAAAGCACTTATTTTCTGACTTGAAGAATTCAATTTCTTTTAAATAATTTAAGCAATAAACATTTGAAAAAATAAATAAATATTACCATCAGTACATTAGATTTAGTTATCGGCAAAAAATACTCTTTACAAAAATACGTTAATGAAAACTGAATGTATACTAAATATCTTGTCAGCATTAAATAACCCATTGAGGTGTTGATATGCCGTAAAACAATAAAACATAACCAATATACTTTCTATTGATAGCTCAAATTCAGATCAGATTAAGTCAATCATTTTGAACAGATGATTATGGAACTTCAAACCATATCTCTAAGAGAATTGCCATGATGCTCAAAGGTCAGATTGAGTAAATTAACAAAAGACAACGTGATTAAAGTGGTTTTTCTTTCTTGTACATGTAAGATTTGTATTCCATAGCCAAAAATATCTAGCGTGTCACCGGGATAGATTTAATTCGCTATCTGTCTATATTTCTGAGATGAAGTATTATGTACACTATTTACATTATTCGAACTATTGTCCTCATCCTTGTCGCCATATTTATTACAACGTTTCGGCCCTTCAGTATCTATCTATATTTCTGAGATGAAGCATTATGTACACTATTTACATTATTCAGACTATTGTTCTCATCTTTGTTGCCATATTTATTACAACGTTTCGGCCCTTCAGTATCTATCTATATTTCTCAGATGAGGTATTATGTACACTGTTTACATTATTTGGACTATTGTCCTCATCTTTGGGGCCATGTTTATCACAAAGTTTCGGCCCTTCAGTGTCTGTCTATATTTCTGAGATGAGGTATTATGTACACTATTTATATTATTCGGACTATTGTTCTCATCTTTGTTGCTATATTTAATTCGCTGTAATTGAATTTCATTATGAGAAAATTAAACACGGTGCTCTTGTTTTAATAGAATTTCGTGTATAGCGTAATTGGCCAACTTGAAATGGTAGGTAAACTATACAACTCGAAAAGGCGTACCGGCTTTTTCACTTTCTTTTCGCTTTCGTGAAATACGTTATTAAAGTTGGACATTATTTCCAAGTGAAATAACTCTCCTTTGTTAACATGCAGAGGTATCAGTTTAAAAATCAATGTACATTGAAAAAGAAGCGAAAAACTAATTTTCTTTATTCACGGAAGGCCACGAATGTGTATTCGGGGCATTTGTTTCGTACATATGAGAAAATAAAATGCCTAATAAAATAGACGTTAATCTGGATACTTAAAGACAAGTGTAGATCTTAGGACAATCAAATAAAAATAGTCACCTTTCAAACAATCTCCTTACGACTCAAATGTGCCTTTTCTGGCATAATCTTTATTGCATCTGTTGCACATATGAACCAATGCCACGGTTTTATCTAAGACAATCTAAATAACATTATTTTTGCTTTGATGGATTTATTTATGTTTATATCTGAATGATTTTTCTATCACACTGTTATTCCTGCTTTTAATAAGGCCTGGGACTCGAATAGATTAGATTTAACATCAGGACATGATTTGATGCTGGAGTAATATATATATATTCTCAATAAATTTTTTTTTTCTAAAAATAGCAACGATAATATATATATATATATATATATATATATATATATTATCGTTGCTATTTATTATATATATATATATATATATATATATATATATATATATATTCCATGTAAATTTCTATATAAAACTACTTACAGTTTATTTTATGAAAGAAAATGAAATTTATTAATCTATAAAGGAATAACGCTATTTTATTTCTTCTCCATATATTAAATATTTATATTGAATATACTCTTTTCTTAAAGATCTGCAAGTAAAGTTATAAAAGTAGTATAATATATATATATATATATATATATATATATATATATATATATGTGTGTGTGTGTGTGTGTGTGTGTGTGTGTGTGTGTGTGTACATATGTAGAAAAATAGGAAAGAACATGGTAGGTAAATAATCCGGAGCTCTTTAGTATTTTTGTTTTTCTTTAAAAAAAACAGTGCTCCACACAGAAGTAGAGCTTAAATTAAAATTATTTTTTTTAAAAATATGATTCCTTCACTACATAAGAGTTCTTATGTTTATTAAAATTAAACCGAGTTAAAGTAACAAGTCCTTTTCATCCTCAAGTGAAAATTTAGAAATAACCAATCTTGAAATTTACGCATCTTTATAGGCATGTTTATTCGCAAATTTAATTACTATGAAAACGGCTGGGCTGACCATTTTGGTAAAGGGTCTAAGAGAGATAATTTTTATTCAATTATCAGTCACCTTTGAAAAGCTAGGGGTAGGGTGGGGGCATCCATTCAAATGCGAATGAACATGCTTATAAAGATGCGTAAATTTCAAGATTGATTATTCCTAAATTTTCGCTTGAGGGTGAAACAGGGCTTGATACATAACTCAATTTAGTTTTAATAATTTTATGAGAACTCTAATGTAGCGAAGGAATCACATTTTAAAAAATAATTATAATATATATATATATATATATATATATATATTTTTAAAACATTAATCAGTTTGTCTGACGATCGCTAAAGCGTGAAACCCAGGGTCACAAACTCACATCTATCCAACCAAATATGTTAGCCCTATCTCTGATATTGAGCGCTCTCTAATAAGTATATAATATATAAATAATTATACAAATAATTTTATATACATTTTCACATATATTCATTTATATTTATATACAACTTTTCATATATATATATATATATATATTTATAAAATATATAACGATAATATTATATATATATATATATATATATATATATATATATATATATATATTATTTCTAAATTTTTAGAAATTTAATAAGTAGATATTGTAAAAATTAATCGGCTGGGGTCCCAGTTTTATTAAAATCAGAAATAACGCTACAATAATAAAAGATATGAACAAATAAGAATGAACACCAATTGCTCGCTACACAGACTGGATGTCTTATATCATTTCTACCTATTGATATTTACAACAACCGACCATCAACGGACAATCAATGTTTCTCTTCCTCTCTCAATAGCCGCGCCTGTGGGAAAATGTTTTTAAAAATACCATTTAGAGAAAATTATAACCTAATATTTGGTAAAGTTCGTTGTAGCCTCTCAGCTTGGTCTCGAGGACAGCCACAATGACGTGCTGGTCTGAAGCTGCGTCTGCACCCTTTTTCGGCAAATGGTGATGTGGTCGATCTGATTCTCGGTCTTTCCCACAGGGGAAATCAAGGTAGTCTTGTGGATGAACTTGTGGTGAAATATGGTGCCTCTATTGACCAGGTCATTGAAGGTGCAGAACTCTGTGAAAAGTTCACGACACGGTGAGAGCGTACAACGACATGGCTTGAAGATCATCGCACAAGTGCAACGTGAACAGCCCGAAAGAGAGGGGAAAACAGAAGAATTCAAATTGGAACTGAGGATCAAGTTCAGGCTGCTTTCCCACTTACCAGAAAAAAAAATAAATAAATAAACAGAAGAACGGTGGCACAGGCTGCGCGATACCTGGATGACAACATGCCAAACAGTCCTGGGGAGAAAAACAAGGAACGAGAGGTTGTTCGAATTCCAGTCAGGGTCGTTACATTCCCGCGCAAATTGGACGATCATGAATCAAGAAGTGACATTCCCGCGCTTACGATACATTCCCACGCAAATAAGCTTGGGCGATCATGAATGGAGAGATGACATGACTTCCTCTGTCGGTATAAACACGCATTGCTTCAGCGCGTAGGGTAATAGCAGATTTATCGCCATGAATCTGGGAAGGCCAGCATCCAATGAATTATTATTAATCCTTATCAAGCCGGGAAGTAGCCTTTTGTAGCAATTTCTGATTGTATTTAAAAAAAAAACAAAGACAAAAAAAACCCAACAAAACAAAAAAAAAAAACACACGCCATTGTGTTTAAATGTCCAGTATCACAAAATGAACTAAATTATAATGTCACCAGAAAAACGCATGAAACTTAATTCTTAAGTTTTTATTAATGAATAAGCTCAAGGCGAGTTCTACGACAATAAAATATCTATAGAAATGCTAAAAATCTCCCCTATCACACCTTTATATATGTGAGTATAACAACTTTAACAAAATATTTCAATAAAAATCATAAATAATTATATTAATCGTTATTTTAAGAAGTAAGGGGGTACAAATGAAAAGAGTTGAAATTAACTTTTTCACTGTAAAAGCCGTTAAAATATTCTATCTTTCCTTCCTTCTTTTTCATTCTTTCTTTCAAGTTTATCATTTTTTTAAATTACTTTTTCTTTCATTTTAAATTGAGACAAAGTACTGTCTTTTCCTCTCTTCTCACGCGGTCAAAACGGAATATCCATTATTTATGAAGTATTGACAGAAGAGTCTTAAAAATTCTAACTTCCCTTCCCTTTTCTTTTTCTTTCTTTCTTTTTATCTTTTTATTTTTCTTTCTTTCTTTTTCCTTTCTTTCTTTCTTTCTTTCTTTCTTTTTATCTTTCTTTCTTTCTTTCTTTTTATCTTTTTATTTTTCTTTCTTTTTATTTTTTATCTTTTTAATTTTCTTTCTTTCTTTCTTTCTTTCTTTCTTTCTTTCTTTCCTTTTCTCATTGAAACCAAGTATTGTTTTTACCCTCTTTCCATGTGCTGAAAACGGAATAATGGATTATTTAAGAAGTACTGGCAAGGAGTAACTGTCGTGCTGACTAAAGAAGTGGGGGACAAGCAAATTTATAATAGTATAATTAGAGCTGCTACAAATAAATTATATCAGCATTTTGGCATATTGTTTTTTATTTTATATAAGAGTCTCCAAGCATCGAACCTCTGGACAGATATACCGACTTAAATGAGATATTGTCTTTACAATATACTTTATAGATTTCTCTGGATTTAAGCCAAACTTATGATTATTATATTAAAAGATTAAAATCTCTATCAAAGTGAGTCTTAGATAATAAAAAAAAGTGCGTTATAGAATTTAGTTCTGTGTAGAGAATTACTATATTCCTTTGAAGGTGCCTAGAATTTCTAGAGAGCTAGACAGTGTCGCTACGTACAAAAGAAAATAGTTCCTGTCAGGCTAGTGTACACATGGACAGCTCAGTGCTTTTAGTGATTTCCAGAACCGGCATTTCTGCACTTGAAAGACTGTCAGTGTTTAAAGATGCGATAATAGTGTTGACTAAAACCCACAAAGACACTGGTGGACACATACAGAGAGTGCGACACAAATCTGCGTCCAGACAGCCATGTACACAAATTCACATATACAAGCACTCACCTACACCCTGACAACTTATATTATAGACATAGTCACATAAAACTAACACATACATAAATGTGTATACAGTTAGATAAAAACAGCAGACAAATGTGTGTATGTATAGCTGGCCACTCGTATTCGTGGATACCGGTCTACGAGGGTGGCGAGCTTATCCCTATTGCAGACGCTTGCTCAGGCGCACTTGTGTTTATTCAGCTCATTTGTGGTTTAAACTGAACAGACCTTCTGGGAAAAAGCGTGTTATCAGCCACGATGACTTGTTCCATCTACCCAATTTAACTCAACCCAATTTCTCTCACAAAGCTTGAGTCAATCCGTGCTATAGATTTGACTCTAGGATCGACACCTCATGTCCGGTGAGATTCGGATCCGTGACTCATGGTCAGAATGCGAAGGTTCTAACCAATCGGCCACGTACCCATGTACTGGACCACGCGCCCAATCCACCCGGTCACGTGCACAATCTCCTTGCTGGAAAATCGACCATGGTGAGATTCGAACGCGGGTCTCACGGTCAGAATGCGAAAGTTCTAACCACTCGGCCACTTACCCATGCAATCGGCCAACTAACTTGAGGACACTTAGCACAGTGGATAAAGTCGTTAGTTAGATCCAGTGACAGGACCCAAAGAGTGTGAGTTCAATACCTGGTTAAGGCGGTGGAGAATTTTGAGAGAGGAATTAACAGGTGATAACTGACATCCATTAGACATGGCACATGGAACTAGAACAGACTTCCCCAGTGAACGAAATAAATGGTTCAGTTCGACATTCCAACCACCTGAAGAAGTTGGACGGAGCATACAACGGACAAAACGTTGTGATAAAGATGGCGACAAAGATGAGGACAATAGTCTGAATAATGTAAATAGTGAAGATGATTCTAATTTACCTTTTGCAAATTGTATATGTTGTAAAATATGAAATTGTCAATATGTCAAAGAGCATTGCAGCCCTCAAGGACAGGCCATAAAACACCCAAACACATCTAATATTGACTATATAACAATAGTTAGCATCTACATTTCCCTTTCTTCTCCATATTAATCCTATTTTATATCAGTTACCTGTTTTATGCAGTCCTTTTTGATCATTTTTTTTAAAGTGCACATTTTTTTTGGTTTGTTTGTTTCGGTCTCTTTGGTTTTCTGATTCTTATCCTTATTGATAATTTATTCTATCTTTTGTTTCATCTTCAAATTCTTCATTCCTTAATAATATAAAATTTTTAAACATAATATTTCTCTATAGGAATTGTTTTAATATGAATTATTATTAATCCTATCAAAACAACTCTGTTGTAAGTATAATTTGTTTTGTTCTAGTGGGGACCTAAACTGTTTTTATATTTAATTAAGTTTTGTCCATATATAAACTCTATTTTCGGTCCTCCTTTAGTTTCAATTCAACACCTCATTCTTCATTTGGCCCCAACTTAGGGGCATAAGGTTAATATATAGGTTAGATCTATCGAAACTCTTCCTTTTTAGATAGACACATTTCAACCCGCATCGCAAGCGACACGGGCATTTTATCTGTCCAAGGTGTCGAGTTGAGGACTACTGTCTAAGTTAAATTCTAAATCCCTGATTCCGATACGAACACAGACTAATTTTCCAGGGTTGAGTAAGGCCAACTCACTTGACGCTGGTTGAATTATGTTTATACGAAAAGGAGCCAATTTTGAATGTTATTGCTATGTAATATATATATATATATATATATATATATATATATATATATATATATATATATATATATATGGAAGAAGTTATAGTTGCTCAACGGCGGAAAAGTGTATATTTTAAAAAGAACAGTTAAATAGTTGTATATATGTATGTGCGTGTATATCTAATTATGTATGTATGTATGTGTATATATATATATATATATATATATATATATATATATATATATATATATATGTGTGTGTGTGTGTGTGTGTGTGTGTGTGTGTGTTATGTGTTTATATACATACACACACACATATATATATATATATATAATACATATATATATGTATATGTGTGTGTATGTGTATATATAGATATATGTATATATATGGACATGTATGTATATGTGTGTGTGTATGTGTACGGATATATGTATATGTGTGTATGTGTATATTTATGGATATATAGAATATTATAAAAGAAGGACTTACAGTCCTGTTATTAATGTTTTATCTCATTTTCTCCTTTAATATTCTCCAATGTGAAGTCTGAGTTTAAAATTCTTTATAATATGGAGGTAAATTTTTAAATTGATAATTTAATTTAAATTGAAATATATTACCCTTTAATAATCATTATTGTTGATAAAATATTTAAATTGGAATTTTTTTTCTTATATTTTGGTAGGTGTTAATACATGAAATTACCTGTGTATATCGGTACATGGGTACCTGTATGAGTGATAGCACATGTAAAGGAATGTGTGTATATGTGATATTTGCATTTGTGTGTATGCAGTATATGACAGAGCAAGATCTTTAATATTACCTTCAAATATTACCCCATATTAACTTAACTAAAATTTAAATAAAAGAGATTAACCATCTAGAAACAGTCAGGAGTTAAATTCATGAACAAAATTCAAACGGATAGAGACGTCAACTTAATAATCAATAATAATATTTTTTTTTAAAAATAAAAAAAGATTACTAGAAGGAAACTTATGTTTTAAAATAAAATTTTATTATTTTAATGTACTTTCTAGGAATATTTTTCTAATCGACTATTTCATAGAAAATCCCCAAAATTTTAAAAAAAATTTAAATCACTAACAAACATCAAATTAAATTCTTTGTAGACAGTTTAGGGGCATTCAAATTCATATCAAACATAATCTTTATGAACCCCCAAAATAACACTTTCAAAGTAAAACAAAATGACAGCTTCTTTTTCTAGCCAGTTTTTTTCCAAAGAAAATCAGTGACACCTTCTCTCATGACTTCCTTCGTTCTTGTTCTTTTTCTGTCTTTTTTCTCCTCTACCCCTTCTATATCAATATATAACTTCCGTTAAGTTAACCGTTTACATGTGTCAATGTCTGGACCTCCTCAAGTAATTTCAAGTATGAAAGAATAGAAATATTAAATTACATCTAACTCAATCAAGTCTTCTCTCTCGCCCCTCACTCCCTCACTTCGTTAATTTACATATGCTTAACACGGCCCGTCAAAAATGTGTAAATTTCTTTTCATTTTTTGTTTCAACCTTTGGAAGTAAAATTTGAAGATCCGCAGTCCTTTAAAAGGGAT